CCAGCCTGGTAAGCCACCCAGGTCGCAGAGATATGGCCAGCAGAACCGCAAAAAAGTCAAAGACATTTTTGCTTTTGACAGAAGTGTCACACTCTTCTCTCTGCCACTGCATACAACTTCAACCACTCTCACTATTGTCCATAACATCTTCCTTTACTCATTCTCCCCTTTGGCCTCCCACACAACGAATCATGCACACATTCTCTGCTGCCTATTCAATCCTCAATATACAGAGTCAAAGTCATACAGCATAGAAACAGACCCGTTGGTCCAACCAGTCCAAGGTGAACACAATCCCAAACTAAACTAATCTGCCTGCTCCTAGCCCATATCCCACTAAACCTTTCTTATTCATGTACTTGTCCACATGGTCTTTTAAACATTGTAATTGTCCTCACATTCACCACTTCCTCAGGATGATCATTCCACATGTGAACCACTTTCTATGTAAAAAATTTGCCTCATGTCTTTTTAAAATCTCTCTCTGCTCATCTTTAAAATATGTCCCCTCGTCTCGAAATCCCCCATCCTAGGGAAAAGACAACGACAATTAATTCTATTTTTACCCCTCATTACTTTAAAAACTTCTATAAAGGTCACCACTCAACCTCCTACACTCCAGTGAAAAAAGTCCCAGCCTATCCAGTCTTTCTTTACAACTCAAACCTTCCATACCCAGCAACATTCTGGTAAATCTCTTCCGAACCTTCTCCAGCTTAATAATATTCCTTCTATAACTGGGTGACCCAAAACTGGACACAGTATTCCAGAAAAGGTCTCACCAATGGCTTGCACAACCTCAACTTGACTTCCCAACTATTATACTCAAAGAACTGAGCAATGAAGGCAAGCGTGCCAACCGCCCTCTTAACCACTTGTCTATATGTGACACAAACTTCAAAAGAATTATGCACCTGCACCCCTAGGTCCCTCTGTTCTACAACACTACACAAGACTCTACTATTAACTTTATAAGCCCTACCTTGTTTGTTGTACCAAAATGCAATGCCTCGCATTTATCCAGATTGAACTGCATCTGCCATTTTTCAGCTCATTGACCCATTTGATCAAGATCCCTTTGTAATCTCAGAAAAATTTCTTCACTGTCTACTATGCCATCAATTTTGGTGCCGTCCGCAAACTTACCAACCATGCCTTCTAAATCATCTACCAGCTTTCCTCTACATGTGCCAGCATTGACAGTTGTGCTACTCATTGTAGTCCTATTCATTCCCCTCTCATTCTCATTGTAAGAGAAGGTAGCCCATAACAGGAAAGGGAAAGAATGGCTGGGTGGAGGAATGGCAGACATCAGATGCTTACCCCTTGAGGAGAAAATTTTGATCCTCAGAAAGCGGGGATTGTTCCTACACGAATGCTGAAACATCCATGTCTTGCAAAATTACTCTGTATTCCACATCCACTCCCAATAATCACACTGCCACTTTCAATCATTGCGCATCACTTCTAACCACTGATGTGACTTTGCGCTCAATCGTTTAGGGACATACGATCCATGTTCTTCCCTTTTAAAAGCATTCAGAACAGTGTGCGCTGCGGACCCTGCCCTCACAGATCAAGTCATTTATCCTATTCACTTAGTGTGGTCACGCTTATTTTCTTCCCATTACACACTTAATTTCCAGTACAATGCCCGCAGTCTACGGCCCCAAGTGCCAAAGCCTGAAGTTCAGTGCCACCCTGTGACCACTATTTCACTCCCACACCCACGCACATTTTCTCTTCATTTCTTAGGACAGACATGACAGCCTGACCATAGTCCACCCCTTAAATAACATGACCAGAGTGTCCAGGGCAAACATATCCAGAACCCTAACTATAGGTCTCTACAAAGGCATTTTTCTGAATACAAATGAAGGAGTGTAGAATTTTCAATCTTCCATTTTCTAGCACTGTTCCCATAGTCAGGAGGATTAGAAGTTAGTTACCAGGGTCTCACTGATTTCCGTCTTTGCTTCCATCAACAACCTAAGATTACAATGAGTAACTTTTCTACTTTGAGGATGTAAATCTTTGAAGTCCCTCCATTTTTAATCTAATTTATTCTACCCAAAACAACAATTCTGTGACATATCTCTATTAACTCCACCTTTATTGTGACATTGCCAGAAAACTCTTCTCGTGAAGACTATGCAAAGTACTCAGAGTCAGAGATGTACAGCACAGAAACAGACCCTTCGATACGATTCGTCCATGTCAACCAGATGTCCTAAATTAATCTAGTCCCATTTTTAAGCAGTGGACCCATATTCCTCTAAACCCTTCCTATTAATATACCCATTCAGATGCCTTTTAAGTGTTATCATTGTTCCAGCCTCCTCTGGCTGTTCATTCCATACATGCACCACCCTCTGGGTGAAAAAAATTGCCCTTTAGGTCCCTTTTAAATCTATCCCATCTCACCTCAAACCTATGCCCTCTAGCTTTGGACTTTTCTACCCTGGGCAAAAAACGTTGACTATTCATTCTATCCATGCCCTTCACAATTTTATAAACTTCTATAAAGTCACCCCTCAGACTTCAATGCTCCAGGGAAAACAGCCCTAGTCTATTCAGCCTCTCCCTATAGCTCAAACCGTCCAACCCAGCAACAATCTTGTCAATCTTTTCTAAACCCTTTCAAGTTTAACAACATCTTTTCTATAGCAGGGAGACCCGAATTGAATGCAGTATTCCAAAAGTGACCCCACTAGTGTCCAGCACAGACGCAACATAACCTCCCAACTCCTATACTCAATGCACTGACCAATAAAGGCAAGCATACTAAACACCGTCATCATTACCTTGTCTACCTGTGACTCCACTTTCAAGGAACTATGAACCTGCACTCCAAGGTCTCTGTTCGGCAACACTCCACAGGACCTTACCATTAAAGGTATGTAAGTCCTGCCCTGATTTGCTCAGCGAAAATGTAGCACCTCATATTTATCTACATTAAACCCCATCGGCCCATCTGATCAAGGCTGTTGTACCCTCGTGGGCTGTCCACTACCCCACCAATTTTGGTATCAACTGCAAACTTACTAACCATACCACCTATATTCACATCCAAATCATTTATATACAGGACAAAAAAAAATAGTGGAGATAACAAGGTGTACAGCTGGATGAACACAGCAGGCCAAGCAGCGTCAGAGGAGCAGGAAGGCCGACGCTTCGGGCCTAGACCCTTCTTCAGAAATCAAATGGTGGACCCCAGCACCGATCCTTGTGGCACACCGCTGGTCACAGTGCAAAAAGCAACTTTCCACCACCACCCTCTAGCTCCTACCTTCAAGCCAATTTTGTATCCAAATGGCTAGTTCCCCGTTTTCCACATGATCTAACCTTGTTAACAAGTCTCATGCAGAACATTGTCAAATGCCTTACTGCAGTCCATTTACTCCTCTGTCCCCTTCCCAGTATTTGGTAAACCATACTACCCACACTAGCATAACTACTTCTTTCTGCTCCTTACATCTGATCAAGTAGATTCTGCCTTCAAACCCTCATGCATATAATCCCCTGGGTTGTTATATATTTCAGCAATGTTGCTCAGTCCATCTCTTTTTGAATGCCCTATTCCCATTACACACATTACAGCCAGGAATGGTGCATTTGTGGTACTCCCCATGTTTCAATCAGATTTCTATTATTGACACTATATCATATCATATCATATCATTACATGGCAACAAAAGCCTGCAGTTCACCAGCCAAATTTGGCATGTCCACATATTTTTGTACTTGCACTTCAAACTTGCCTCCATCTGCTTTGTACTTCTTGTTTGCCCAATACCTTTTCTTGTGGGTCACACTACAAAGGTTTGAGAAACTGGGTATATTTTCACCAAAGGCTTGGAGGCTACAAGGGGAATCTAACAGAGACTTTAAAATTCAAATTAAAAGTTTTAAAAACAAACAAAATTATTTTACTCTAGTTGGTCAGTGAGAATTTTAAGCCAGAGGTTAGGACCACTTTCTGAAGCATGAAATGCTTCACTTCAGCAAGTGGCTTCAGAGATTATTGCATCTATAAAGGGAAAAGTTGTCTAAACATTTAAAGGAAAAAAATGCACACCTACATGAAAAGAGTAAAGCATTTGGATTAGCTTGGAATACTCTAGCAAAGAGGTAACAGAGACATGAGCCTACTTCTGCTTTGCAGGTTTCTACTGGTATAAATATTAAGCAGGGACAACAAAAAGAATGTTGACCCCAAGGGAATATAGAGACTTGACTATCACATGTTTATCATGTTAGGATACCCCAGAGTACTGCACAGCCGATGAACTGTTGTTGAATATAACAATTTTGTTTTGTAGGCAGAAATCATAATCAATTTGCCCAAAATCCAGCAAACAGCATTGTTATGAAAGATCAATTATTTGGTACTCCTGGTATTGGCACAGGGTGGACTCTAGGCCAAGACATCAGGAAAACTGCCTAATCTTCTTCCAAAAAAAATACCCAAGATCTTTTTCATCCAGCTGAACAGGATGATCTCATCAAAAAAACAGCATTAACACTTCAACATTTGCTCAGTACTGCAAAATGTATCAGCTGACGTTGAGTTCAAGTCCAACAACAAAATCACTGCCACTAACTCAAATTGTCACTACTTGATCGGGAAAGCCCACAGTACCAATGAGCTCAAGGCACAAACAGACCTTTTACAGAAAAAAAAAGAGGGCAGTTCATTTTCAACAAAAGTAAACTGACAGTTGTGTATTAAAGCTGACCAATTGTCCTTCCCACTAAATTCAGATTTTCACCCCAAAAGTGAAAACTGTTTCTGTTATTTGTATGATGTGGCAGAAAATGTCAAGCTGGGATACTGCCCGAGGAAGGAACAATATCTTTGTTTTACAGTTTTCAAGCTTCAAGAGCACTTAGCAGCATTTCATACAAATTCCATAAAGCAACATCATCCTTGCGCAGTGTTACCTAACAAACTACAAGGAATTTCGATTAGCAATTCCATTGATTTAATATCTTACCTCCTTTTCTGTAAGTCGCACATCATGGGGATAAACAAGCTGAGGACCAAAACAAACAAAAAACAAACAACTCAAATTGAAGAATTTATCTTTCATTTAAGATTTCTAAAGTGTCCAAAATATTAAATATTTCTTTCCCCCAAATAATTTGTCTCAAATCTTTACATTTATATTTGCAGCAAGTGCAATAATGGAGGACTGGTTGATGCAATGCAATTCTAAATAATAGACAATTTTTAAAATCCCATGTGCTCCTTTGTGTGGCACTTCTACAGAATGGCCTTTGAAAGTCTGTAAGTGTACAACATCTACATATAAACCTAATTTATCCAGTCTGTTACTTTGAGAAAGCAGAATCAAGGAACACAAACCATGCTTGGCTGCTGTAATTTGTATGAAAGTGAATGAAACTCTAGACAAGCTTATTCTAAAAGAAGGTGGGGTGGGGTGGAATGGGAGTGGGGATGGGGGAAGGACCTACGCATGTACAAAAAAGTCACACTCAACAAAATCTCAATCTGTACAGTTCGGCACTGTCTTTCAAATAATTGCAGCCTCGGTTTTTCTTTTTCATGCACCCAATCATGGCTCCACACCTGCCCTTAAAACCCTATCACTGCCTCAAATGATTTTTGGAGAGATAGCACTGATGGAATGTTTATTCTATAAATCATGCTATGCTGAAGAAAAAAAAGCTTTTACAGATCATTGGACACTCACATTTTCTCATAACATTCAGAATCTGGATTTAACAAAAAACAAACAAACACAGTCACCTAATAGCATATGTGCCTACTTGACAGGACAACACACATCACAGGTAATAGACTTCAGCTAATGGTACATGAAATTTCTAACTTATTTAATATTATAAATGATAATTACAACAGCATTTGCATAGCTGGAACTGCATTAAAAGGTACATTGACATTTTAATTTGCGGTGGTGTCTACTTAGAATTACCATTAGATGATTAGGATTTAAAAACTGCAGCAAGTTACTGAATAGTGAGGAAATGGGGTAAATCAAACCCAAATGAACTGGGTAAGCAACACTGTGCATTTCCAGATTTTAAGATTTGAAATTAACATCACAAAGACATGAAAGAAGTGCAAGCTAATGTAGGTGAATGTATTGTCACACCAGGCACAGTGGGGGTTGAGACAGTGAGAGAGCGAGAGAGAGAGACACAACTTGCGGCTGAATCTAAAAATACTGAATTTTTATGAGCTTCCTATGAGATACTTCAAAGGAACTGAAAATTCGTACACATTCATTTGACTTAAATACATCCTCATCATAAATCTGAGCTGACAAGCTTAATTTAGTTTCGTATTTCTTAATGTTTATAATTTTGTTTTTAGATATAAGAGCATGTCTACAACTAACATTTGACTGGTCTACAGTTTCTCTTATTGTATCCTTTAAAAGATATTCTTGAACTGGAAACAGGCATAAAAGACTAGCACAACAAGGTCAGATTTTGAAAGAATTGCAGGTGGGAGATAAATGGGAGGAGGAGCCAACAATAAAAGGAAAACAATAACATTTGAAAGTGGGACATGGAGGTGAGGATGAGAAATAAGGAAAATGTCTAAAAACTGGTCTTCAATTTTTTTTTTGAAAAGTTAAGTGCAGAAATTGCTGAGTAAGAAACAGTTAGCAAAACAAGTCACAAGTGATGGAGTACATTTAACTCCAACTTACCAGACAGTTTTTCCCACTGCATGAAGTGTGAGAATATATTTTGTCTCTTGGTAGCAACAATAACTGGCATTTATTGAGCAACTTTAACACAAAAAAAATTCCTAAAGTCCTTCACAGACATAAAATGGAACAAAATTCAACTCCATTGACGGAAACAGTTGCAGTGTTAGGCTAGGCCCCGAATAAATTAACGTGAAAACGAGAACTTTCTATTTGAAAATCATGGTTGGGGGTGGGGGAGTAAACAGGCACAAGAGTCCATGCAAGTCAATAAGCCTGGGGTTTCAAGTGGGTAGGAGTTAATGAGGTGTATAATAGAAGTAGCAGGGTTTTGGTTAAACTGAAGCTTTGAAAAGCTGGGAAATAGTCAAGTCTGGAGATGACAAAGGCATGGATAAGTACTTCAGCAGATGGACTGAGGTGGGATAGAAATGGGTAAAGCTATTGGACAACCACTGCCCATCTTTGAGTTGGAAGATATGAAGAATCAGTTCAAGGTCAAAAAGACACTGAAATTGCAAATAGTGTGGGTAAACTACAGAGAGTGCCTGGGAAAGGAAATGACAGTGCAGAATTTTTTGTAGTGTTAAGTGCCTGTTAGAGGTGTCAAACCTGAGAAAATTATGGCTCAGCCAGGACTGGATGCTGAGAAAGCCATCTGACAAGATGGAGTCAAGTCGCCATAGTCCCGGCGACCATAGGGCTGTTCTTTCATGACTAGTGTTGGGTCACCACGTCTAAGGGAGGGGCGAGGTCCAGAAGGTGGGATCTTCACGGTGACCTTAACCGGTGCTGAAATTGAACTCGTGCTGTTGGGGTTCGCGCTGCATCGCAAACCCGCCGTCCAACCAACTGACCGACAACGTAAGGAAGAATCAAATAGAAGCATCCCAAAACCAGTCCAGCTCGTCCCTGCCTCCCTAACCTGTTCTTCCTCCCACCTATCCCCTCCTCCCACCTCCAAGCCGCACCTCCATCTCCTACCGACCAACCTCATCCCGCCCCCTTGACCTGTCCGTCCTCCCTGGACTGACCTATCCCCTTCCTAACTCCCTACCTACACTCACCTTTACTGGCTCCATCCCCGCCTCTTCGACCTGTTTGTTTCCTCTCCTATATCCCTCTTCTATCCGCCTCCCACTCTCTCCCTACTTATTTCAAAACCCCCTCCCCCTTTTCTGATGAAGGGTCTGGGCCCGAAACGTCAGCCTCTCTGCTCCTATGATGCTGCTTGGCCTGCTGTGTTCATCCAGCCCTGCACCTTGTTGTCTCGGATTCTCCAGCATCTGCAGTTCCTACTATCTCTGACTATTTTAAAATCCACCTTGAGTAATCACATGTTGAAAGGTTCGAGATGGTCAAATTCTTGTTCCAGTATTTTTCTTCTTTACTGATTAGATAATGTTTCTGAAACACCAGAAGCCCTCTAGTACATTTCTTAAATGCTTCATTCTTCAGGCATAAGCCACTTGACAAGTCCTTGCAAGCTATTCAACAAAGAGTAGATGCTGCAGTTGCAGATGACGTCACAGCTAAAGATGTTGTTAAGTAACTTTAAATTCCTCCTGACTGCGTGAATCTCATGAAAAATATTTTTATGATGAGTGATTCCACCTGGGGCTATATTTTCCTTAGTTTGCAATGTGAAAAAACTGATTGTGGGAGTGAATCAGGGAGTGCAGCTGAGACTGTAAGCTCAGATTGTTCAGCACTGAAAACCGCATTTCAACCCCATGGGGGCAGACTGAAGTTCTAAACTGTCAGCTTCACAAAGATCACTAATATTTTTACAGAAATGGGTCTGGTTACAGGAATAGGCCTGGGTTGCAGTAATTGGAATTTTCTGGCATGGCCAAACAATCCAGGCACGCCAGAAGACAAGAAGAAGATTAGAATGTAAGGATATTTATCTTCTACTCATATGTTCCAAATGTTGAGCTAGCCAATAAAGATACTCCCCCAAAAAAAGTAAAAATGTCCATAGAACTTGTAGTTGAAAATTTCACTTGGATTCTCAGGCTGGAGCGCAGTTGTAATGAACCCACAATAGCATAGACCAAACAACACACACAGGAAGTAGTCAGGCCAACTGCTGTAAAGCAGTGTTTGTATTTTACCACTATTCTGTCTGCCTCATTTAGTATTGGATTTATTATCTTATATTCACGGTCCCTGGTTTTCAAATTATATTATGACATGATAAGAATTGTTGCTGTTGGGAAATGACACCAATGCAGCCCTCCAGTAGAGTATTAAGCCAGCAAGGCAATCTGTGCCTTTTGATTTTGGCCTTTTTCCCTTGGCTGCAGGAATCTGATTTATTAATTTGCCTGTTTTAACTTAAGACAGACTTTGTTCTCCCCAGGCATCCCTGCACTCTCCAATATGTCTCAAACGTTATGTGTATTGGGATTTCTTTTAGGTATTCTTTCGATCAATTTCATACAAGTGTCCTCTAAGCTGTGTTGGCACATGGCCACGTGGCACCACAAAAACCTGGAATCTGTTGCATGGGGAACAAACAGGTTCCGCCCAAGTCAGCAGCTTCTCTGAACATCCGGGAAGGGGATTGGATTTGGGAGCAAATCTAGTTTTGATGGACGAATGGGATTATTTCTAATTTTCCCAAAGTTGTCCCTGAAGGAAGCCCTAGTTCATTTGGTGCTATAAAGATTCATAATTAGGTGAATGGTTGACACAGGTCTCCAATCCACTGGAAAGCTGCAGTAAAATGGCCCCCAGTTACTGTAAGCTCCAATGCAAAATCCCATAGAAAGATAATGGAGGTAGTGGTCATGTCAGTGGGCTAGAAATCCAGAGGCCCAGACTTTTGTTCTGGGGAGATGGTTCAAGTTCCCCAGTTGGATTAATAAATCTGGAAATAAAAACTGGCCTCATTAATCATGATTATGCAATCCTTGTTGGTGGCCACAGCCCATCTAGCACACTAATTTCCTTCCTTAAGGGAAGGAAATCTGCCGTCTTTGCTGTGGATCTGGAGTTACATGTAATGTGGTTGATTTTTAACTTCCCCCTGAGCAAGTCACTCAATTCAAGGGCAATTAGGGCTGGGTAACAAATGCTGACCTTCTCAGAAACACCCACGTCCTAAGAAATAAAAAAGATGTGGACTTGTATGAACAGTGGATTCTGTTCATTCACTGGTCCCATTGGTTTTATAAAAAAATATCCTTTTTAATAAACACGGAATGGCAAAAATGTCATGGGAAAATTCTATTGTCGTACTTGGTGTGTTAATTCTGTGCTGTTTCCCAAGGTTAAGTGATTGAAAGGCATTGTGAAAAATTTCTTCCGAAATCCTAAAACCAGCT